GTGATGTCACAGAAATACAGGACGGATGGTGATGTCACAGAAATACAGGACGGATGATGATGTCACAGAAATACAGGACGGGTGGTGCTGTCGCAGAAATACAGGACGGATGGTGATGTCACAGAAATACAGGACGGATGGTGATGTCATAGAAATACAGAACGAATGGTGATGTCATAGAAATACAGGACGGATGGTGATGTCACAGAAATACAGAACGGATGATGATGTCACAGAAATGCAGGATGAATGGTGATGTCACAGAAATACAGGACGGATGGTGATGTCACAGAAACACTGGACTGATGTTATGTTGATAGAAACACTGGACTGATGTTGTGTTGATAAAAACACTGGACTGATGTTGTGTTCATAGAAACACTGGGCTGTTGGTGTGTGCTCTGTCTGTGTAAAATCCCCGTGGGGTATAAAGAGGTCATGAAGCCAGGGCTTTGTAAAACATGGGTACACATGGGCATTCATGGTGTGTCACAGGTTGTGAATGTAAAAATGTGAGACCAATGGAAGAATCGGGAGCAGGAATCACGGAGGAAACATAAGTCGCTAAAGTTCCTGACAAACTTGCGGACATAATGGAAATCTTGGGATCCGTGTGGGTCGATAGTTACTGTAGGCTGTGAACACTGAGTTTTGGCGAGAAAGTGAAATCCACGTAGAAACGATCGCGAGTGGGAAAAAAGGGTTCTTAATTTATAACGTACCCCAAACACGAAAATCCCGTGGGGATTCCACAGCTGACCTGACAGTCCATTATTGCAAGGGGTGCAAGTGTGCTGTTGTGTGCTGCTGTTTTTGAATGTTCATCTAGTGTCTTAGGGTTAGGGTTAGGGTTAGGATTAGATGTAGAGAAACTGCCAGAAAGTACAACCTGAACACCCTAGAATTTATTGGGAATGTCTCCCGTGACGTCGTCGTGACGTCAGGGGTAAGTTATAAATTAAGTACCGAAAAAAGTCCAGTGGTACTTGAGTCAGTCAGCTTTCAGTCAGTGCAAGTGTGTGGGCGTGTGCGCGAACTGTTCAAGTCTAGTGGATACATGACCTGTGTTATGTGACAGTTTTAGCAGTATTTGATTCTGTGGAGCTCCTGTAAACTGTCCGGATGACTGTGCGGGATCACGAGTTGGACTTCTAAATTCTGTCAGTGTGGTTTCTAGAGCTGATCTGAGTCGGCCATGTGTGTGACTTCGGCACTGTTGCGGCTATGTGGCCCGCTGGTTGGGATGTCTGCAAGTGCTGGGGTACAGACCGTGCTGGGACATGTTTTATGTATTGAGTTGTGATGGGAAGGTATCGGGGTGCTGGTGGGCAAGATGGAGGTTGGCCAGTGATACTTCCGTGTACAAGTGGAACAGATCGGCTGACCTCATATATTTATGCCTGGCTCCTTGTTGAAAGTGTTGACAAGCTCCCACTGGATCATCCAGTCTTCTTCTTTCTTCTTCTTGTTCACCGGCTGTGAATTCAAGTTATCAGGCACTGGGGATGTACATCTTTGCCTGTATTATCTGGCGTCTGCAATTTCTGATGTCAATAGTGGCCGTCCTTCATACCCTCTCTCTCCTCGCACGATCTACTTCTCCCTTTACCACCAATAACATAACAGTCTCTCTCCTCGCACGATCTACTTCTCCCTTTACCACCAAAAACATAACAATCTCTCTCCTCACACGATCTACTTCTCCCTTTACCACCAAAAACATAACAATCTCTCTCCTCGCACGATCTACTTCTCCCTTTACCACCAAAAACATAACAATCTCTCTCCTCGCACGATCTACTTCTCCCTTTACCACCAAAAACATAACAATCTCTCTCCTCGCACGATCTACTTCTCCCTTTACCACCAATAACATAACAGTCTCTCTCCTCGCACGATCTACTTCTCCCTTTACCACCATTAACATAACAATCTCTCTCCTCGCATGATCTACTTCTCCCACTACCTCCAATAACATAACAATCTCTTTCCCCGCATGATCTACTTCTCCCTGTACCACCAATAACATAACAATCTCTTTCCCCGCATGATCTACTTCTCCCTGTACCACCAATAACATAACAATCTCCCTCCCCGCATGATCTACTTCTCCCTGTACCACCAATAACATAACAATCTCTCTCCCCGCATGATCTACTTCTCCCTGTACCACCAATAACATAACAATCTCTCTCCTCGCATGATCTACTTCTCCCTTTACCACCAATAACATAACAATCTCTCTCCTCGCATGATCTACTTCTCCCTGTACCACCAATAACATAACAATCTCTCTCCCCGCATGATCTACTTCTCCCTGTACCACCAATAACATAACAATCTCTCTCCTCGCATGATCTACTTCTCCCTTTACCACCAATAACATAACAATCTCTCTCCCCGCATGATCTACTTCTCCCTGTACCACCAATAACATAGCAGTCTCTCACGCCCCCCCCCCCCACCACCCATTTATCGCCGACCCACCCCCCTCCCCTCCTAAAAAAACCACCTATAAAAATTAAAAGGAATAAGTAACAAACAGTCAATTGGCAAGGGCAGCAGCTAGTGACAACTACCTGTACACACAATTACCTGCAGACATCCCTACCTGCAGACATCTCTCCCTGCAGACATCCCTACCTGCAGACAACACCTGCATATATCACTACCTGCAGACATCCCTACCTGCAGCAATCTCTACCTGCAAACAACACTACCTGCAGACAACACTACCTGAAGACACCACTACCTGCAGACAACACTAACTGCAGACAACACTATCTGCAGCAATCTCTACCTGCAGACACCACTACCTGAAGACAACACTACCTGCAGACACCACTACCTGCAGACAACACTACCTGCAGACAAAACTACCTGTAGATATAAAAGGCTGCAGATATCACTACCCGCATATATAAATAGCTGCAGATATCACTACCTGCAGATATCAATAGCTGTAGACACAACTACCTGCAGATATCAATAGCTGCAGACATCACTACCTGCAGATATTAATAGCTGCAGACGCCACTACCTGCAGATATCAATACTTGCAGACATCACTACCTGCAGATATCAATACTTGCAGACATCACTACCTGCAGATGTGAATACTTGCAGACATCAATACCTGCAGATATCAATAACTGCAGACATCACTACCTGCAGATATCACTACCTGTAGATATCACTATATGCATACACATCTGTGAAGCTGTGCTTACACAAAAACAGACACGAATTCCACAGACAGACAAGAGTTCCACAGACAGACAGACAAGAGTTCCACAGACAGACAGAAAAGAGTTCCACAGACAGACACGAGTTCCACAGAGACAGACAGACAAACAATAGTCACCGTCAGCGAGTCTCCCAGTGCTGCCACCACAGAAATATCCCCCGGTCGCAGCCTATGAACTAGAAAACATACAACCATGTGACCAGGTCGCCTGTGATCTGTGTCAGTGGTTGACTGCTACACTATCTCCCAGCCCAGCCACTCTCTATCACCCAGCCCAGCCACTCTCTATCTCCCAGCCCAGCCACTCTCTATCTCCCAGACCAGCCACTCTCTATCTCCCAGCCCAGCCACTCTCTATCTCCCAGCCCAGCCTAGCCACTCTCTATCTCCCAGCCCAGCCACTCTCTATCTACCAGCCCAGCCACTCTCTATCTCCCAGCCCAGCCACTCCTTATCTCCCAGCCCAGCACAGCCACTCTCTATGTCCCAGCCCAGCCACTCTCTATCTCCCAGCCCAGCCCAGTCACTCTCTGTCTCCCAGCCCAGCCCAGCCACTCTCTATCTCCCAGCGCAGCCACTCTCTATCTTCCAGCCCAGCCACTCTCTATCTCCCAGCCCAGCCCCGCCACTCTCTTTCTCCCAGCCCCGCCACTCTCTATCTCCCAGCCCTGCCACTCTCTATCTCCCAGCCCAGCCACTCTCTATCTCCCAGCCCAGCCCCGCCACTCTCTATCTCCCAGCCCAGCCCCGCCACCCTTTTTCTCCCAGCCCAGCCACTCTCTATCTCCCAGCCCAGCCACTCTCTATCTCCCAGCCCAGCCTCTCTCTATCTTCCAGTTCAACCACTCTCTATCTTCCAGCCCAGCTTCTCTCTGTCTCCAAGCCCAGCCACTCTCTATCTCCCAGCCCAGCCACTCTCTATCACCCAGCCCAGCCACTCTCTATCTCCCAGCCCAGCCACTCTCTATCTCCCAGACCAGCCACTCTCTATCTCCCAGCCCAGCCACTCTCTATCTCCCAGCCCAGCCTAGCCACTCTCTATCTCCCAGCCCAGCCACTCTCTATCTACCAGCCCAGCCACTCTCTATCTCCCAGCCCAGCCACTCCTTATCTCCCAGCCCAGCACAGCCACTCTCTATGTCCCAGCCCAGCCACTCTCTATCTCCCAGCCCAGCCTAGTCACTCTCTATCTCCCAGCCCAGCCCAGCCACTCTCTATCTCCCAGCCCAGCCACTCTCTATCTTCCAGCCCAGCCACTCTCTATCTCCCAGTCCAGCCCAACCACTCTCTTTCTTCCAGCCCAGCCACTCTCTATCTCCCAGCCCTGCCACTCTCTATCTCCCAGCCCAGCCACTCTCTATCTCCCAGCCCAGCCCCGCCACTCTCTATCTCCCAGCCCAGCCCCGCCACCCTTTTTCTCCCAGCCCAGCCACTCTCTATCTCCCAGCCCAGCCACTCTCTATCTCCCAGCCCAGCCTCTCTCTATCTTCCAGTTCAACCACTCTCTATCTTCCAGCCCAGCCACTCTCTATCTCCCAGCCCAGCCAATCTCTATCTCCCAGCCCAGCCACTCTCTATCTTCCAGCCCAGCCACTCTCTATCTTCCAGCCCAGCCACTCTCTATCTCCCAGCCCAGCCCAACCACTCTCTATCTCCCAGCCCAGCCCAGCCACTCTCTATCTTCCAGCCCAGCCCAACCACTCTCTATCTCCCAGCCCAGCCCAGCCCAACCACTCTCTATCTCCCAGCCCAGCCCAGCCACTCTCTATCTCCCAGCCCAGCCACTCTCTATCTCCCAGCCCAGCCACTCTCTATCTCCCAGTCCAGCTACTCTCTATCTTCCAGCCCAGCCCAACCACTCTCTATCTTCCAGCCCAGCCACTCTCTATCTCCCAGCCCAGCCCAGCCACTCTCTATCTCCCAGCCCAGCCACTCTCTATCTCCCAGTCCAGCCACTCTCTATCTTCCAGCCCAGCCCAACCACTCTCTATCTTCCAGCCCAGCCACTCTCTATCTCCCAGCCCAGCCACTCTCTATCTCCCAGCCCAGCCACTCTCTATCTCCCAGTCCAGCCACTCTCTATCTTCCAGCCCAGCCACTCTCTATCTTCCAGCCCAGCCACTCTCTATCTCCCAGCCCAGCCCAACCACTCTCTATCTCCCAGCCCAGCCCAGCCACTCTCTATCTCCCAGCCCAGCCCAACCACTCTCTATCTCCCAGCCCAGCCCAACCACTCTCTATCTCCCAGCCCAGCCCAGCCCAGCCACTCTCTATCTCCCAGGCCAGCCACTCTCTATCTCCCAGCCCAGCCACTCTCTAACTCCCAGCCCAGCCACTCTCTATCTCCCAGCCCAGCCACTCTCTATCTCCCAGCCCAGCTACTCTCTATCTTCCAGCCCAGCCCAGAAACTCTCTATCTCCCAGCCTAGCCACTCTCTATCTCCCAGTCCAGCCACTTTCTATCTCCCAGTCCAACCACTCTCTATCTCCCATGCCAGCCATTCTCTATCTCCCAGCCCAGCCACTCTCTATCTCCCAGCCCAGCCACTCTCTATCTCCCAGCCCAGCCACTCTCTATCTTCCAGCCCAGCCACTCACTATCTCCCAGCCCAGCCCAACCACTCTCTATCTTCCAGCCCAGCCAATCTCTATCTCCCAGCCCAGCCACTCTCTATCTCCCAGCCCAGGCACTCTCTATCTCCCAGTCCAGCCACTCTCTATCTTCCAGCCCAGCCACCCTCTATCTCCTAGCCCAGCCCAACCACTCTCTATCTCCCAGCCCAGCCCAGCCACTCTCTATCTCCCAGCCCAGCCCAACCACTCTCTATCTCCCAGCCCAGCCCAACCACTCTCTATCTCCCAGCCCAGCCCAGCCACTCTCTCCCAGCCCAACCACTCTCTATCTCCCAGCCCAGCCACTCTCTATCTCCCAGTCCAGCTACTCTCTATCTTCCAGCCCAGCCCAACCACTCTCTATCTTCCAGCCCAGCCACTCTCTATCTCCCAGCCCAGCCACTCTCTATCTCCCAACCCAGCCACTCTCTATCTCCCAGTCCAGCCACTCTCTATCTTCCAGCCCAGCCCAACCACTCTCTATCTTCCAGCCCAGCCACTCTCTATCTCCCAGCCCAGCCACTCTCTATCTCCCAGCCCAGCCACTCTCTATCTCCCAGTCCAGCCACTCTCTATCTTCCAGCCCAGCCACTCTCTATCTTCCAGCCCAGCCACTCTCTATCTCCCAGCCCAGCCCAACCACTCTCTATCTCCCAGCCCAGCCCAGCCACTCTCTATCTCCCAGCCCAGACCAACCACTCTCTATCTCCCAGCCCAGCCCAACCACTCTCTATCTCCCAGCCCAGCCACTCTCTATCTCCCAGCCCAGCCACTCTCTATCTCCCAGCCCAGCCACTCTCTAACTCCCAGCCCAGCCACTCTCTATCTCCCAGCCCAGCCACTCTCTATCTCCCATCCCAGCTACTCTCTATCTTCCAGCCCAGCCAGCCACTCTCTATCTCCCAGCCCAGCCACTCTCTATCTCCCAGTCCAGCCACTTTCTATCTCCCAGTCCAACCACTCTCTATCTCCCAGCCCAGCCACTCTCTATCTCCCAGCCCAGCCACTCTCTATCTTCCAGCCCACTAAGTCATATAGAGAGAAAACCTCAGAAGTCATATAGAGAGAACACCCCACTAAGTCATATAGAGAGAACACCCCACTAAGTCATATAGAGAGAACACCCCACTAAGTCATATAGAGAGAACACCTCAGTAAGTCATATAGAGAGAACACCCCACTAAGTCATATAGAGAGAACACCTCAGAAGTCATATAGAGAGAACACACAGTGAGTCACATAGAGAGCACTCTCAGTGAGTCACATAGAGAGAACGCACAGTGAGTCACATATGAAAAACGCACAGTAAGTCACATAGGCAAAAAGCGCAGTGAGTCACATAGAGAGAACGCACAGTGAGTCACATAGAGAGCACGCACAGTGAGTCACATAGAGAGCACGCACAGTGAGTCACATAGAGAGAACGCACAGTGAGTCACATAGAGAGAACGCACAGTGAGTCACATAGAGAGCACGCACAGTGAGTCACATAGAGAGAACGCACAGTGAGTCACATAGAGAGCACGCACAGTGAGTCACATAGAGAGCACGCACAGTGAGTCACATAGAGAGCACGCACAGTGAGTCACATATAGAGCACGCACAGAGAGTCACATATAGAGCACGCACAGAGAGTCACATATAGAGCACGCACAGTGAGTCACATAGAGAGCACGCACATTGAGTTACATAGCATGTCCAAGAAAAAAAATGTTCAGGGTTTCTGTGTGTGTCTGTATGTGCATGTGTGTTTGTGTGTTTCCTTTTGTGTGGGAAGGGGTGGGGGTAGAGGTGGGCTAGGGGTATGTGTGTGGTAGGGATATGTGTGGGGTGGGGGTATGTGTGGGGTGGGGGTATGTGTGGGGTGGGGGTATGTGTGTGGTGGGGGTATGTGTGGGGTGGGGTATGTGTGGGGTGGGGGTATGTGTGGGGTGGGGGTATGTGTGGGGTGGGGGGTATGTGTGGGGTGGGGGTATGTGTGTGGTGGGGGTATGTGTGGGGTGGGGGTATGTGTGGGGTGGGGTATGTGTGGGGTGGGGGTATGTGTGGGGTGGGGGTATGTGTGGGGTGGGGGTATGTGTGGGGTGGGGGTATGTGTGGGGTGGGGTATGTGTGGGGTGGGGTATGTGTGGGGTGGGGGGGTATGTGTGTGGCTGTTTAATGTCGCCAGTTCTGGCTTGGTTCAGAATTATTTCTAGAAAGATATCCACCCTTGATGTTATCATGCTGGCCTTGCTGGTCGAAATGATTGTGGCGATGATGAGGACGACGACGATGGTAATGATGATGATAATGATGAAGATGGTGATGGTGGTACAACGAGTGTCTGGGGAGTACCTGATGTCGGAGTGGTTGTTGAGGGCGGCAGCACTGGGCAGTGGAAGATGTTGGCTCGCTTCTGTGGACATAATGATAAGTTTGCAGCTGGGTTGTTTAGTCTCTGTTCGTCTGCTCTCTCTCTCTCTCTCTCTCTCTCTACTTGTCTCTCTCTGTGTGTGTGTCTCTCTACGTGTCTCTCTCTCTGTTTTTTCCTCTTTGTGTTTAACTCTCTCTGCGTCTATCTCTCTGTCTTTCTACGTGTCTCTTTCTTTCTGTGTCTATCTCTCTGTGTCTATCTCTCACTGTCTATCTCTATGTGTCTATCTCTCTGTGTCTACCTCTCTGTGTCTGTTTACATGTGTCTGTCTCTCTGTATCTGTCTCTCTGTGTCTTTTATCGATGTGTCTATCTCTCTGAGTCTATCGCTATGTTCTGTCGCCCTGTGCCTGTCTCTCTGTGTATGTTTCGATGTGTCTATCTCTCTGTGTCTATTTTTCTGTGCCTGTCCATCTGTGCCTGACCATCTGTGCTTGTCCATCTGTATCTGTCTCTCTGTGTCTGTCTCTCTGTGTCTGTCTCTCTTCGTCTCTTACCATGTGTCTGTCTCTCTATGTCTGTCTCTATGTGACTGTTTCTCTGTGTCTGTTTCTCTCTGTGTCTCTCTTTCTGCGTCTGTCTCTGCGTGTCTGTTTCTACGTGTCTGTCTCTACGTTTCTGTCTATCTGTCTATCTGTGTCTATCACTACTTTTCTCTCTCTGTCTGTCTCCTTTGTCTGTCTCTTTGTTCTCTCCTTTTTTCTGGTATCTGTCTGTCTCTCTCTTTTCTCTGTATGTCTCTTTGTGTCTGTCTCTCTGTGTCTGTCTCTCTGTGTCTGTCTCTCTGTGTCTGTCTCTCTGTGTCTGTCTCTGTATGTCTCTCTGTGTCTGTCTCTCTGTGTCTGTCTCTCTGTGTCTGTCTCTCTGTGTCTGTCTCTGTATGTCTCTCTGTGTCTGTCTCTCAGTGTCTGTCTCTCTGTGTATGTCTCTCTCTCTGTCTCTCTCTCTCTCTCTCTGTGTCTGTCTCTCTGTGTCTGTCTCTCTGTGTCTGTCTCTCTCTGTATGTATCTCTGTGTCTGTCTCCCTGTGTATGTCTCTATGTGTCTGTTTCTCTGTGTCTGTCTCTCTGTGTCTGTCTCTCTGTGTATATCTCTCTGTGTATGTCTCTCTGTGTATGTCTCTCTGTGTATGTCTCTCTGTGTATGTCTCTCTGTGATAGTCAGTATGTGTGTCTCTTTCTCTGTATCTAACTCTCTGTGTATGTCTCTCTGTGTATGTCTCTCTGTGTATGTCTCTTTGTGTCTGTCTCTCTGTGTCTATCTCTCTGTGTCTATCTCTCTGCGTCTATCTCTATGTGTCTATCTCTCCGTGTCTATCTCTCTGTCTATTTCTATGTATCTATCTCTCTGTGTCTATTTCTGTGTGTCTATCTCTCTGTGTCTATCTCTCTGTCTATCTCTCTGTGTCTATCTCTTTGTGTCTATCTCTCTGAGTCTATCTCTCTGTGTCTATCTCTGTGTGTCTATCTCTCTGTGTCTATCTCTCTGTCTATCTCTCTGTGTCTATCTCTCTGTGTCTATCTCTGTGTGTCTATCTCTCTGTCTTTTTCTTTGAGTCTATCTCTCTGTGTCTATCTCTCTGTCTATCTCTCCGTGTCTATCTCTCTGTCGATCTCTCTGTGTCTATCCCGCTGTGTCTATCTCTGTGTGTCTATCTCTCTCTCTGTGTGTCTATCTCTCTGTGTCTATCTCTCTGTGTCTATCTCTCTCTATCACACCCCCTTTCCCACACACACACACAGAGAGAGAGAGAGAGAGAGAGAGAGAGAGAGAGAGAGAGAGAGAGAGAGAGCTATGCTCATGTTGTGGTAGAGATGTTGCTGAACCCATGTTGTGTCTGTCTGGCTCTGGTGGTATTTATGTCTGTATCAAACATAGATACCTGAGTACATACTTACAAACATATTCACACGCATACATACATACATACATACACACATACTTACATACAAACATAATACATACATACATATATACATGCATACATGAGTGCATACATACATACTACATACATACATACATACATACATACATACATACATACATACATACATACATACATACATACATACATACATACATACATACATACATACATACATACATACATACATACATACATACATACATACATACATACATACATACCATACATCTACATACAAACATACATACATACATGCATAAATGAGTGCATACATACATACATACATACATACATACATACATACATACATACATACATACATACATACATACATACATACATACATACATACATACATACATACATACATACATACATACATACATCATACATACATACATACATACATACATACATACATACATACATACATACATACATACATACATACATACATACATACATACATACATAC